TTGGCCGAGCACATTTTGAAAATATTTAACTTGGCAACATAAAACTATGTCTATGAACGAACTCTGAAGTTCAGCCCTGCAGCGGTTTCATTTGGCTTTGGAATGCCAAGTGACCAAGGAGACGGCCTTGTGGAACCCTTGAAAACTGTGAAACTTTTATATGGATCCCACGCCCAGGTCCCCGCTGTCAGCCACTGATGAGACTGTGGGAGAATTCCTGAACCTGAGCTTGTGTGTTAAGGGAGTGGTTGGACCCGATTGGGAGCAGGATCCTAGCCTAGGCCTTTCCTGAGGCTGTCAAGCAACTTCAGGGCGTCATGAGCACCCGCCTGCAGAAGGCGGAGGTGTCACCTGCATGCATGCTCTCCCGCCATCTAGTGGCCAGATGTAAACATTACATCTCTTATCCAGAGAAGGGCATTGATTAGTCCAGGGAAGGGCGTTATTAAATACAATACTTTCCCAAGTAGCACAAAAAGAAATGTTCAGATTCTGAGCCAAAAGGCGCCTTATTTTTGAAGTGCTGGGTTTTTTTCTCTTGTTTTTCGCTCAGTGCTGAGGTGGAACCCCGAGCCCTGAGCAAGTGGTCTACCACTGAGCTACACAGACTCCTGGCTGTATTGTGGCTCAGAAGAAGCATTAGGATGAGTGCTACTCTGCTTCTACACACACTGTTGCCCTGTGGGAGCTGACCCTGCAAGTCAGCAACCATTCCCCCTTTTCACTGCCCTGGGTCACCTCAGAGGGGAGGACAGCTGTGTGCCCTCTTCCAAATCACTGTATCAGGTGGCCATGGCCAGAGATTCAGTAAGACATTGAGACAGCCAGTGGCTGGGCCTGGCACATCCTTAGTGCTTAGAAAGTGGACGGAGGGGGTGTTGGGGTGTTGGTCACCACACCCATTCCCACACTAGCATATCCCGGCTATCTAGACAGGATCTGAGCCTGTGCTGGCTTAGTGGAGAATCTGTCTTGTGATTTCCTGGAGGAGAGCCCCGGGGCCTGTTGGGAAACTATCTGGCAGGAAAGCAGGAAAAATGCCCTGGGCTTAGTTTTTCCTTGAAGCCTTCATTACTAGGTATTAGGATAGGTGTGTGGCTGGGTGGGGAGGACGGGGGTGGTTTGAGATAGGACCTAGGACCTCCAACATGTAAGCATACATGCTACCACTGAGCTGCGCCTCCAGCCCCTAGGTTTGTTTGCTACACAGTGCATGCTCTAGAAAAGTCTTTCTACTGTACCCTGTGCTTAGCACAGGGTCAGGGACACAGGAGGAGCATTTGCTAAATGCATGCCTGTGTGGACACTGCTCCTTTAATCGGATTCCTGACCCTTCTGGCTCTTTTGTCCTCATAGCCTTCCCTCCATGTATCAGATTGCTCCGAGACTTGATTCTGTGTTCCTGTGACCATGGGGCCTGTTGGGAAACTATCTGGCAGGAAAGCAGGAAAAATGCCCTGGGCTTAGTTTTTCCTTGATGCCTTCATTACTAGGTATTAGGATAGGTGTGTGGCTGGGTGGGGAGGACGGGGGTGGTTTGAGATAGGACCTAGGACCTCCAACATGTAAGCATACATGCTACCACTGAGCTGCGCCTCCAGCCCCTAGGTTTGTTTGCTACACAGTGCAAGCTCTAGAAAAGTCTTTCTACTGTACCCTGTGCTTAGCACAGGGTCAGGCACACAGGAGGAGCATTTGCTAAATGCATGCCTGTGTGGACAGTGCTCCTTTAATCGGATTCCTGACTCTTCTGGCTCTTTTGTCCTCATAGCCTTCCCTCCATGTATCAGATTGCTCCGAGACTTGATTCTGTGTTCCTGTGACCATATCTTGATCTAGGGGTTGGACTGAAGCAACAGCTTAAATGAACCAAGAAAGTGTCTTCAGCTGGAAGAGATGCTCAGACGTTAAGAGTATTGGTTGCTCTTACAGAGGACGGGGGATTGGTTCCCAGCATCCCAATGGGGGGGGGTGCCTAACAACCATCCTTAACACCAGTTTCAGGGAATCCAACACCCTCTTCTGACCTTCACTGGCACTGCATGACATGGGTGCACTTACATACGTGCAGGCAATACACTCATACATGTAAAAAAATAAATATAATTTAAAAAGTGGCCTCATTCACTTTGTCTTTCCTGAATATATACTCTGTGCCAAGCCTCATGTCCAGGCCTGAGAGGCCAGCGATGGGTCAGTCAGCCAGGACCCTTTGTCCTTGGGAAGCTGCCACCAAGTGAAGCAAGGCCAGCATTAAAGAAATAAGACTGTGCTGCAGGCTCCCTGACAGGTGAGCTTGGGTCCATGGGTCCCAAGGACAGCACCAAATGAGGCTTATGGTGTCAGGGAGGAGTCCCAGGGACAGCAAAGCCTACACAGAAACCTGACGTAGGAAGAGCTGCCAGTCAGGTGGTGAAGAAAATGGGAAGCCACTGGGGACAGGAGGTCACTCTTCTAGCCCTAGGAAGAAATCAGTGCAGAAAAACTAGAGGGGCCACTATGCTGAGCGGTGGACTCACTTAGTGCAGAAAATTCTGGAAAAGTATCTTGATTACAACCCAGAATCTCCTTTTTTTTTTTTTTTTTTTTGTCTTTTGAGACAGGGTCTCCCTGTAGCCCCAGCTGTCCTGGAACTCACTATGTAGACCAGGCTGGCCTTGAACTCAGAGATCCACCTGCCTCTGCCTCCTGAGTGCCGGGATTAAAGGCGAACACCACCAAGCCCGGCCCAGAATCTCCTTTATAGCAGACTGCACAAGCCCCAGTTGGAGAGGGCAGGCCAGGGCAGATTCCTTCTAGTTCACAGAGATCAGTCAGCTGTTGGTTGATTCCTCTTTGCAATTGCACTCAGAAGAGCCTTAGCTGAGGCTATCGGGGCGTGGTGGTGCACACCTTTAATCCCAGCACTCGGGAGGCAAAGGCAGGTGGATCTCTGTGAGTTCAAGGCCAGACAGGTCTACATAGGGAGTTCCAGGACAGCTTGGGCTACAAGGAGACCCTGTCTCAAAAAGTCAAAGCAAAACAAAACAAA